ACTAAATGTAAAATGTAAATTATATTAATGTATTAAATTGAATATTATATATTATTAAATTATTATGTAAAATGTTTGCATGCTTTTATATAAGTAGATTTTGACGAACAAACCATTTTAAGAACACCTTACTGTATTACTCAAGATTGAAGCAAATAAATATATTTCATTTCATTTCATTTCATTTGACTCTACTACTGAATGCTATCTACGGATTATAGATATGCGAACCAAGAGGTGCTCACTCAAATACACCTTATAAAATATTATGCTACCATCATGTACCTACCTAATTAGGTTTACCGTGAATATTTTTTACACAATACTGTCTCTATTGAGCAGATACACAGACATTGCAGACCGATGGGAAACTAAAGCGGAGCAAAACTGATATTAATAAATGTTTAAACACTGGTAGGTACCTAACTAATTCTTGAAATCTAAGTGACCACATGAAAAAAGTCGCGTGTTCGACATCTGCGAGGGAGCGAGCACTTCGGGCTGCTCTAAGGACATCAGTAATTGCCGGGTCGCGGCGAGTAAAAACAGGCGGCGAGTTGAAAGCGGCTGGGCGCAGGGAGCGAGGGTCCTCCTCCTCTAATGACGACAATTAAAATTAATTTGCGCGGCCGCCGTCTCACTCGCAAATTAAATTCTTCACTCGCGATCTCCCCGCGCGAATGATGGCGGCTCCCCTTTGTCTCGGCGCCCCGCTTGACGGATGCCGTCCGGGGGCCCCGGCGCACAGCCCGCTCCTCGCCACGAGACACCTTCATAGCTGCACGACTATGAATTTACGCCTGCCAGCTGAACGGCTTGCGCATTCCCACTTTGATGACTCTTGTCTGTAAAACGCTTTATGTTGTAACCGATATGAGCATAAAATAAAATTCATAAAATTCATGGGTTAGTCCCAACGGCCCCGGTGGATCTGCCCCGTCAACGGGGCGGATGGGAAAAAGTGTTTCAACGACCCCGGTAGTCATAGTCTTAGCGTTCAACGGGGTGGATGGAACACATCAAGTGTCAACCACCCCGGTATATCGTTTAACGGGGCGGATGGATCAAATCAAGTTTCAACCACCCCGGTATATCACTAAACGTGAAAGATGACACAGATCTAAAAGGTTCCACCTCGGTATTGCATACCGAAAATAAAACCTGTTAATAAAATAAAAAAATATGTAAATAATAATCAATTTTATTTAACAGTCACTGTTTAAAAAATCTACAGTATAAAAGTAGAATTAATTGTCACACAATATTATAATGGTCATAAACCTATAGATTACGTTTAGAATCACAGATGCGCAATTGCATTAATCAGTCAATATTAATAACAATCTAATAGTCTAATGTGATAAAAAGTAACTCTAAAATTGTTACAAAATATTATTATTTAAGAATCACAGATACGTAGGTAGTTACATTAATCAGTTGTTGATTAACAATAAAAGTAAGTTTAACTGTCACAAAATATTTAGGTCATAAACTTAAAGATTACTTTTAGAATCACAGATGCGCAATTGCATTAATCAGTCAATATTAATAGCACTTTAATAGTCTAAAGTGATAAAAAGTAAATCTAAAACTCCTCACTAACAAATAATAACAAGGAAATCTAAAATTGTTACAAAATATGATTATTATTTAAGATTCACAGATACGTAGTTACATTAATCAGGTGTTGATTAACAATAGTACTTTTTTTTTAATTATTTATAGAATTTTTTTTCTTCCAATTACTTATTGTAAAGAAAACGTAATAACTTTTAAACTAAGCGGTATATCCTGATAAAATAAAAACAGTAATAATGCTAAATAACAGGCAATACTAAAAAAATACATAAAATACACAAAAAAGCCCAACAAATAATAAAAAATGATACTTTTTGAAAAAAAAACTGCTTTTAAATTCGTGTTTTTTTGGTTATTTGATAAATTTCTCCAAAAAATGCCCCTATAACCAGTGGTTTTTATTACTTTGAATTATTCTCTATCGTATTACCTTTGTAAAACCAAAAATCGCATGTCTCTATCCCTATCACAACATTTGCTATGCTTGAGGCGTGGCACAAAAAGCTTAATAAAACAATTAAAAAAAGCAACTGAACATCATAGAGCTGTTGTTAAACACACAGCTCAGCGACGCCTTCTGATTATGAAGTGATTTCAAAACAAGTAGAAAATCTGTCAGCATCTCAGCAGTGTAATCGTTTACAGGAGTCTTATTAATGATTTATTTAAGTAGTAGTTTAAGTACTATTGTTAATCAACACCTGATTAATGTAACTACGTATCTGTGATTCTTAAATAATAATCATATTTTGTAACAATTTTAGATTTCCTTGTTATTATTTGTTAGTGAGGAGTTTTAGATTTACTTTTTATCACTTTAGACTATTAAAGTGCTATTAATATTGACTGATTAATGCAATTGCGCATCTGTGATTCTAAAAGTAATCTTTAAGTTTATGACCTAAATATTTTGTGACAGTTAAACTTACTTTTATTGTTAATCAACAACTGATTAATGTAACTACCTACGTATCTGTGATTCTTAAATAATAATATTTTGTAACAATTTTAGAGTTACTTTTTATCACATTAGACTATTAGAGTGTTATTAATATTGACTGATTAATGCAATTGCGCATCTGTGATTCTAAACGTAATCTATAGGTTTATGACCATTATAATATTGTGTGACAATTAATTTTACTTTTATACTGTAGATTTTTTAAACAGTGACTGTTAAATAAAATTGATTATTATTTACATATTTTTTTATTTTATTAACAGGTTTTATTTTCGGTATGCAATACCGAGGTGGAACCTTTTAGATCTGTTGTCATCTTTCACGTTTAGTGATATACCGGGGTGGTTGAAACTTGATTTGATCCATCCGCCCCGTTAAACGATATACCGGGGTGGTTGACACTTGATGTGTTCCATCCACCCCGTTGAACGCTAAGACTATGACTACCGGGGTCGTTGAAACACTTTTTCCCATCCGCCCCGTTGACGGGGCAGATCCACCGGGGCCGTTGGGACTAACCCAAATTCATTTATTTTTGCAAATAGGCTTTAAAAAAGCGCTTTTACACGTCCCAATATTAACCCTACCACTGCTTCGGGACAATAAATGGGCCAGTGCTGAGAAGAAGCAGCGCAAGAAACTCAGTCACTATTACTCAGTAGCTAATATGTAACTTGTTTTAACAGTTTAGTTTTTAAAAAATCTATTTGACACACTCGAATAAGCTCTTGCAAAGTGTCTAGGTCTATAATGCAGCAGCATATTGTATACGTCAGTGTTTCATTAGTATTTTTAAAACATGTTATGAATCCGGTACGCGAAACACCAGTGTGCCTACCATGAGTTTACGTTAGGTGTGCTCGCTAGCGACTGCGTAAAAAAATGACATTTAAATGTATGACATATTGTGCAGCGCCCCTAGCGGCTACTTTCAAGAAATAAAATCTTCATAGAATTTTTTGACGTATTCGCTAGCGAGCTCACCTAACGTAAACTCATGGTAGGCACACAGGCCGCGAAACAAAAAAGCTCGTGTCATTTAATAAAGTTTGTTTGTATGCCTAAATGCCCAAATTCTAATACATTATTTATATCTTAAACTTCCTTTTCATCGGTGGCTCCAAATAAATCTTTAAATTATCTGGCTGCATAAAATGGTTTCCTACCGATCTGTTTATCGGATTCGGGACCAGCACCTTCACGGGAGCCAAGCGGCCAAAGTACGTAGTGCCGACAAACTTCTTTAGAAAAAAACTAAATGTTAGTTTTTTTCTAGCGATAATGTTTTAATGAAACAGTACCGATCTCGTTTTGTTTTTGAACAAGAAGTAAAACTGGTGAATTTTCTTAAGCTGCAAGATTATCGACGGGTCGACCCTCGAGCCTTGGTCTCCGTCTCCAGATCCGCAGGTCTCCATTTTGTGCAGCTATAGTTTTAATCTGTTCGGAGTCACCAGTCGTCCGCGTCCCCCGGACTTGTCCTTTCCCGCATTTCCCTGATGAGGCTATTTACACGCCACACCAAAGTTCAACCTTTGTAATGCAGTTATATTTTTATTTTAATAGAAAATCTGGGTGTATTAGCAATTGAATTTTAAATAACTTGAAAAACCTTTCGCTTGCCATAATTAATTATAAATACCAATTTTTATTGTTTTAAAAGTACCTACTTTTAAAACAATACTTACATAATTACTCGTCTATCACATAAAGTAACATCTATTAAGTGAATAACAACACAATTTGAATTATTATTCCCGTTGAGAGAACACGCAGTAAACTTCGTAATTTGAAGTCACTTGAAACCCGAAGGGAGATAAATATAAACATCGTACTTTGAGATTATACGGATAACGTGTGTCATTACGAGCGGCAACACTCGTGAATTTCGCGTTTAGTGCTTCGTTTATTAGCCGTTGAAACATCTTTGTATTGTTGTCGAGTTCCCACAGGCGCGGGGAGCGCGCGGGGGGCGCCCACAAAGCGGGAATGTTTTGCTTTGTCACTCGGATGAAAGGTTTAAATCATCGCAATTAAAACATCACGAAACCCGGGAATCTTTTTGAAAGTCGAAGAAATATTTTGTTTAGGCGTAGACAGTACATAAATAGTGGAAATATGTCAGGCGAGGACAAACAGAACATCGATCGAAGCCAGCGGGCGCCGCGCTCTACTAATCAATGTACTCGTATAGTGGGAGAGTATGGCCTACTGAGTCACCCCACATACGCTCAATGGCAATACATAAGTATAGCCCAGATAAAGGCATTTTTTCACCAAATGAACGGAAGTTGAACGTCAACGGCTCGGTGACGCGGAGACGCGGAGTGCATACTGACCGGGCACCGGAGGGTAGTAGGGCGAGCAGGCGGCGGGGTCGAGGTGCGGCGCGTGCTGCGCCGGCCACTCCACGGGCTTGTACTGGTGCAGCGGCGAGCGGCCCAGCAGCAGCCCGCCCACGCCGTAGCCCGCCGCCGCCATGTTGTGGTGCGCCGTCGCCGCCGCCGCCGCGTGGTACTCCGCCGCGTGCCGGTGCGCCGCGTGCCCGTACCTGTGCACGCCCACCGATATTACACACTACAATATAATCATTACGATACCATCATCGCAGCATATGAACGCGTATAGGTCTTGGAGACAAAAAGATTGGACCGAATCACAACATACAATAATTATTTAATATAGCTGACCCGGCGAACTTCGTACCGCCTTAGCGTAGAGATTTTCTTAATATTTTTTTCCGTAAGAACCATCCTTGGACTTCCACAAACATTTAAAAAAAAGAATTATCGAAATCGGTTCAGCCGTTCACACGTGATGCCGTGACAACGCGAAACGGGTTTCATTTTTATATATATAGATACCTACCTAGGTAGGTGACACCTAGGTGGTGTTGACACCTAGGTGATACCTCCTGTTTATATTTCTTGGAGACGTAACAATAGGGATAGCAGTACCAAAAATTGCAGCGCTCGTCGTGGCCACCCCATTCGCAGTCTTTGATTTTGCAAAATTATTTTAAGACAAGAAATAGAATTATAGAGAAATAGTTCATCGCAATAACTCACCCAGAGTAATGCTGGTGCCAGGGGTCGTAGTCGTAGAGGTCGACGCCGGCGCAGGCGCCGCCCGCCGCCACGCCCGCCGCCGCCGCCGCGTTGAAGAACGACGCCGGCAGGTTGCGCGACACCATCGGCACGCTCTCTGCGCACCCACAAGCTCTATCAGTGCACACGTTCTTGCAATCGCAAACTACATTTTGCAGTCACGTTGTATGGATCAGGCGTTGAAGAGGACTAAATGAGATATGTCGTAAAGGCTCTTTGAGAGCAAATCTATATTTATTACACATTTGCGTTACTTGTATCTATACAAATATCCAAATACCTACGGTAGTCAACCGTAGGTATTATATTTCAACCACAAAATTAACTTTGCCAATTGTTACCAAAAGGAGACGGAACTACATAGTTTGTTGAACTCGTGAAGTTAATGTTTAAAGTTAATACGAGTACATGTAGTAGTCACACAGTAATCATAAATTTCGAATTCCTTTCTAATAAAAACCGTGTGTAGACATTATCTCAGTCTTCTTTGACTATAAAAAGGTGGCCATCGTTTAAAGTTTATTTATTGTGTCAAAGAGGTAATAAAGATAGGTCATTTGAGACAAACAGTCGCGTCTGGCGTAAGATTACAGGCGACGCTGCGCGATAGAGCCGGCGCGGCGCGCGCGCACGGTAGCGCTCGTTTTAGGATCATGTTACCTGATGTAATCGCTGTTATATTTAAATTGCAGTCGAGTACATTATACAACTACGAATATCTTACTTCATAAGAATAATTGTCAAGAACACAACAACTTTTAAGTTTGAATTTGAAATTTGAATTTATTATAAAATAGGTTTATAATAGAGAAATAGAAAATGTTAAGCTAAAAAATGAAATTTCTAAATTTTTCTAAGGACTGATTTCCCAACCGTTGGATATCTCTTATCTAAAAATAAAAATTAAAAATAAAATTACAATAAAAAATATTTTTCATAAACAAGCTTTTTGCTATATGTTATAATTTATAAAGAATCCATACTTTACTCAATTTATATGACTAAAAGCTTGTCGCGAGATTGACAGTACCTACATATAGATGTACCTATTTACCTGTTTGTTTTTTTCTCAGATCAGACTTTTAGCAAGATCAAGTTACGTAATTAACGTATTTTTTGTAAATTTCATGGCTACCTTCCATCTCCATCATCAGATCAGCTCCATGTCATCATAATATTGCATTGTCATCCGTCTTACTGCGTCTTACACATGCAAGCATTTTAGCTCAATGGGAAACCGGTAAGTGGATCAATTTTAAGTTGCCAGATTTGACACCATACATGTGAAAATATTTAAATAATAAAATAAAATAAATTAAATAAAAGCTTGTAAAATTGACACTGTCATAATATTTCCCATACAGAAACTGCCAATATAGGCCAATTTTAATCTTCAAATAAAAGTTATTGTTGATGATTGGAAAATCAGCCCTTAGTTATATTTTTTTTTTCAAACTAGTTAGTTTGTTTTATCTATTACTATTCTATAAAGAGGAAAGTTTTGATTACTTGAAGGAAAATACACTCGGCTTCAAATAAATTGCGCCTCCCGCAATCTCCAGCAAAATCTTAGAATGCACTTTTTTTCTTTTCAAAAATAAAGGAATGTTTTCTTTGAGTAAAATTTTCTATCTACAGTATTAAGGGTACTTTCCCTCCAGGTGGCATTACAAAATTCCACCCTGGATAATGAATCCCTCTTTTCCGTGGTCACGGCATCACGCGTGAACGGCTGGACCGATCTAATTCTTTTTAGTTGTGTTTTGTATTTGTCAGAAGACTATTATTATGTAAAAAAAACTAAAATAAAGAAATTGAGTAAACTTAACGGTCATATTAACTTTCTTAAGACATACACGTCTGTGTAATGATCTGTGTAGGTTAATGAAACTCATCCTCCATTAATGGGAAATAATTACCACTATAACAAACGTACTATCGGCTACCCATTGCCGGTCATGTCGTCTCGTTCTATCGCAAAGAATCACCATTTGATGAGAGCGAGAGTAAAAACGGAAATGGGTAGTTAACAGTGTGGCCGTGTGTACCTACAACAAATGCGTTTGCACAATAAAACACAAATCGACCTCTACACATCGAATCTATTTACATCTAGAACTGATCAGGTCATTACGTTTAATGTATTCACGCTTCGCATAGCTGCTGTCAGATCCATATACCTAGCTGTGCCACTGGCATAAATAATTAATTAGGTACACAAGTACTGGTACATATCCGCAGGTATCGTAAACCCAATAAACCCAAAACTAGTTAACCAAGCTTAAATTCGTACGTTTATCTCAAACGACTAAAATTGGCACTTTAAAGTTTAATATTTTGCAAACGGATGCCTAAATCGAAAAATAGTTTTAGAAACCCCTAAGCCATTTTAAAAGATCTATCCAATGATACCCCACACGATAAATAGGGTATACGATGAAAAAAAAATCATCTCCACTACATGTAAGGGAGTAAGTAAACCTAAAAAAAGCGCTGATGAGTAAGGTCTTTTCTATTATTAAGATATTATTTAGAGTTGAAACGATTAACATTGCTATTCCAATGTGTTTACGCAGAAGAAGTAGGAGGACCAATTTAAGAATGCTTTGCTAATTCGTAATTCTTATATAAGTAACTAGCTTTCCGCCCGCCCGCGGCTTCGCCCGCGTGGAATTTAGTCTGTCACAGAAAAAAATTATCGCGCGCGTCCCTGTTTCAAAAACCGGGATAAAAACTATACTATGTCCTTTCCCAGGACTCAAACAATTTCATCAAAATCAGTTCAGTGGTTTAGGCGTAAAAGCGAGACAGACAGACGGACAGACAGACCGACAGACGGACAGACAGAGTTATACTTTTGCATATAATACATAATTAGTATAGATTGAATCTAAGACCATTTTGTCTCATACCACTGTTGTATAATTGTATTTTATTTTATTTTATTTTATTAGGAACCAGGTGTTACTATAATGATATAAGTAAAATTTTATAAAAAAAAATAAAACCGACTCCAAAAAACCTACACTAAAACGTAGAAAAATAATTACTAATTACCTACTTATTTATTAGGACGAATTATTAATATTTATGTAGGTATACCATGATTGATACTTCATACTTTTTACGACTTTGAGAGCTGATATCTCAAAAACCGTTCACTTTAAGAAAAATGTTTTTTAGAAAACTTTATATCATTTTAAAAGACCTTTCCATTGATACCCCACACGGGTATGTACATCGAAAAAAAATTTTCATCCCTCAGTTACATGTATGGGGGGCCCCACCCCCAATTCTTTTTTTTACTATTTAGTGTCATAATTTTGTAGCGGTTCATACAACACATATTCCCATCAAATTTCATCACTGTAGTACTTATAGTTTCCGAGTAAATCGGCTGTGACAGACGGACAGACGGACAGACGGACAGACGGACAGACGGACAGACGGACAGACGGACAGACGGACATGACGAAACTATAAGGGTTCCGTTTTTGCCATTTTGGCTACGGAACCCTAAAAATGAATCGCAAAATGTGTTGGTAAGCGCATAACTCAACAACGCCTGGACCAATTTTACCAATTCTTTTTTTAAATGTTTGTTGAAGTCCAAGGATGGTTTTTACAGCGAGAAAAGTTTGAATAATTTCCGGGTAAACCCTAAAAAACTCGAAACTTCACCTCTAAGGGTTTTAAAACGGGGTCCACGCGTACGAAGTCGCGGGCGGCCGCTAGTTGCGTATAAAAAAGTTCATCCCCAATTTTCCACCCTTGGGGGTTGTTTTTTTTATTATTAAATTTAAATGGGACCACCCTTGAGATATTACCTATATGCCGAAAAAAGATTTGTTCAAATCGGTTCATAATTGGCGGAGTTATCGCGTAACAAACATAGAAAAAAAAAAACATACGGGTCGAATTGAGAACCTCCTCCTTTTTTGAAGTCGGTTGAAAACTTAAATTAACTTAACTGTATATATGGCTGGCTATTTATAGGTTTCCCTGGAATAACCTAATATGTACGTAATTGTAATCTAGTTTGAGACAAATACTTTCTATCGTCTATCTAAAGTATTAAGTCTACCCTTTACAGTAAAAACTGTTTTATAATGGCCATTAAAGTTTTTAATAAAATTCCAGACTCTATCACTGACTTGCATGTAAACCAATTTAAAAAATGTCTATATGAATGGTTAGTTGATAAATGTTTTTATACTGTCAAAGAATTTCTGAGTGATTGATTTGTGTACCTATAATGACTTCAATTTTTTAATTAATTTATTATTGTTAATATGTAGATTCTAATTTTGTAAAATTTGCATGCCTACCCTGGACAAAACATGTTGGACTTGACATTTTCTATCGACCATTTTGTTACCATGTTTCTGAGCAAATAAACGATTTATTTATTTATTTTATTTAAAATTATATTGATAGTAGATAGGTACCTAGTATAATATACGAGGCAGAACAGCAGGAAGACTAGAGCGCAGACATGCTTGCCGGCGGGTGTCGCATGGCGGTGCGATAGCGATCGCGGCGCGATGCGTCCCCGCGGCCGCGGCACAATAAGAGCGCGACGCGGACGCGGAATGCGGGGCGTGGGACCGCGCCGCGCCACCTTATAAACTATACCAAAAAATGTCTAGCCCAAAACGACCACTAAACGGAAGACAAGTCCAAAAACGAATCAACCTTTACGTATTATTGTTTTAACTAGCGGCCGCCCGCGACTTCGTACGCGTGGATCCCGTTTTACCCCCTTAGGAGTGGAGTTTCGTAAAATCCTTTTTTAGCGGATGCCTACGTCATAACATCTACCTGCATGCCTTTCAGCCCGATCCGTCCAGTGGTTTGGGCTGTGCGTTGATAGATCACTATGTCAGTCAGTCAGTCACCTTTGAGTTACATATTTAAATTTAAATAATCAGTATCGTTACCGGAAATGTGTGAAGTTTCGGAATTCTATACAATTTCTAGGAAATGTATGTGAAATTCAGGGCACATTTTGGGAAATAACATTTCTCAATTGTGTAAAATAATGATTTAAAGATTCTGATAGATGAAGATACAAAGATTTACCTCAGGGAGAATCCC